TGACTTCTTTTAATATTTTTTTTAAATAAAATTTTTAGCTTTTTGCTTTACTCACAACGAATATTTATGTACTTAGTTACTACTACAAATTGTTACTAAAATTATAATGACAAATAAACATATTTTTGAATTTTTCGTTTTGTTTTATTAAATAATGAATGTGTCGTGGTTATATTCAACAGGGACAGACCCAGAAATAGTTATTGTTTTTTCTATCGAAGTTTAGCTCTTAGAATAAACTCTACAATCTACATTGTGGCGTGTTTTTCAAAATTCAGTACTTGTGGTTACAAAGTTGAATGACATTTTTTTATTAACAATGAAGACAGTTTATCTTTTTTGTTTTTTCTATATTAATGAGCAAATCTAATTCAATTATTCTCACATTTTTTACGGTACTGGAGTAATTCATAAGTAGTAGCGCTCTTGGTATAGGAAATTTCCCCTATTCCCTTCCTCCCTCGAATCCGTTAATGATATTCGATGTAGTGATTAATACGAAATCTGATTTCAAGGTAGGTAGTTCAAATACGTTACTAATAATTGTTTAATTACCTTGGAATACCATAAGAGAAAAGTTAAAAGGTATTTTGAAAATGGTGAAAAAATAATTTTCCATGATTTCTTGCTCTTTTTGATGTATAACATCTTCACTCTCAGTACATGGGAATGTAAGACTATGGAGAAGCGCGCGCTACTCAGTTGTTTAAGATGTGGAGTTATAGGGGATGTTAAAAATATCGTAGAGAGAAAAGCAGAAAATGTTAGAAGTGAGGAGGCATTAAAAAACAGTAGGAGAACAAAGAGTGGAAGCCAATGAGAAATATGGCGAGGTAGGTTGGTAGGGCACATCCTCATACATGAGGGGTAAGTTACGGACATATTAAAAGCAGAAGTTGAGACGGGGAGAAGTAGACTGAGATTAGATTACTGTTCGCAAATAGTTATAGTTGTAGATTGCCATAGTTTTCAAGGGACATTGACTGAAGATAGGAAGAAGTGGAAGTGCGTGTCCAATTAGTTTTCAGGCTGAAGACCTTATGATGATGATGAGTATTTGTATGCTATTATTAATCGCAACGAATCGTTTATAGGGGGGTCTAGCTCTTGATGGGAGGGGGAGGAGTCGAAAAAGGTAAATTTTCAATTAATGTGTTTTATGAATGTCCCCTAAAGAGCACTTCTAGTCCTGGGACCATCAAAACTGGATTGATAAAGAACTTATTTTATTTTTACAATTTTTCTTTTGAGATTTATAAATTAGCTTTTAAAAGGAAAAGAGATATCTATGGACAAATATGAACCAATAACTAATGCTACACAATAATTCAAACACCATCTATACTCAATTGCAGGGAGTAGGTAACTACTTTTAAATTTATTAAATTTTCACAGGCATAGGGACATTTTTGTAATGAATCTAATCTCAAAATCGTAGTTTTCAACATATTTTGCAATTTGAAGGCCACAATGCTATTACTACTTAATTTGGAGAAGAGAACTACAACATGATTGGAAGAAAAACTTTTTTTATCCAATCGAAAATACAGCAAAAAAGGGAATTTGACGAAAAATGTTTATTTAATTATTTATTGTTTTATACTTATTATCTTATAGTTGGTCATGTGGACTTCAGGGATTTCACCCTTGTGCTATGTAAAACCCTTCAATTTCAATCAAATATTAATAGTATCTAGCCAATGTATGTATGTATGTATGGATAAAATTTTGTAAGGAAAATTCTTTGTAAATTATCATATTAGGTATATTTTAATCTTTAAAATAGACATACGTAGAAATTTGCCATACCTTTTTAATTTACGCTATTTATCTCCTGACAATTTAAAATCAAAAGTAGATGTTTGCGTATACCTTTTTACTATGATCCCGACCGATTTAAATAAATGACCTTAATTGGAAAGGCGGCAAATTTAGAGTTCGTCCCGGGTGGCAGAAATTCATGCTACGCACTGCCTTTAGGGGTTGATGTTTGAAATATTCTTTCTAAGTGCACTTTCAAAAGTTTTTTTTAAGTACAAAATTGACATTTTAAGTGACGATTTTTAATGAGATTCAACGCTTAGTTAAGATAATAATCTATAGTTCTGTTTATTCACTAAAATTAGGCTTATTATTATTAACTTTTTTGACCGAAAAATTGTCATGGTTTCAGAAATCAACTCAAATTAATTATATGTATATGCGTATTGAGTGAATAGTGAAAATATGTAATAATTTCCGCATAGATGACTTCAAAAATTGACCATAAACTTTTCGTTAATTACATCTTAAAAACGTTATAGTATGCAAAGCTAAGTTCTTATTTATATCTTCTACAAAATAAAATTTCGAAATTAAATAACAACATGCTTTATTCACAAGAAAAACAGCTTTTACTTTGAAAGGGCTGATTCAATAACCCATGTTAAGAAAGTGTACGGAATAAAGAATCAGCTGTGAGTGCATAAACTTATTATTTCTATATTCTATTTTTAAAAGATTCCTTTTTAAATAAGTAGTAAATATACCCAGTATGTATGTGGGCAGTGCATATTAATTCGTAAAAATCGTTTGTTTATATCACGTTTATTCATATTCGTAACATTTTTTTCATAGGAAGTACGAAAGTGTGTTAAATAACTTGCGTTGTCTCTCGGTACACGTAACACAAATACATAAATAGGTATATTAAATATCTGAACTGATCCGGTGTGTTTTGTTATGATGCAATTTATTCTAAGTTTTGCTCATACTGATAAAAATCAACCGCCTCTTTAGCAAATGTTAAGTATAAAGTGGAAAAGTAAGAATTGATGTCTGGACCGAAATTTTGCACTTTGAATTCTCTCTTTCAAGGTTTTGACCTAAATTTTCATACGCATTTTTGAAGGCTAGTTGCATCATCCATGCTATGACTCAAAAAAGGCATTTTATCTTCTGTTCCTAATTTTCGATGTAAAAGTCATCATTATCTATATTACAAAGTATCAAAGCCAAGCTGGTTTTTCTGACCAATAGGAACGAAAAAACTTTCAGATTTTTCCATGACGAATTAAAAAATCATAAATAGTGAATTTAGATCTTTGTTTAATCGGCGACGTTTCGACGCTCTCTGTGAGGTCATTTTCAAGCCTGTATTACCGCAACATGTTTGAATAATTATTTATGTACCCTTGACACTAAAATTATTTAGCAAATCACGCGGGATCGCGCTTCAGATGTGGAGGAACACCATCAGGAATCGAAATTTAGTTAAATTATGGTAATTTTGATGCGGTAGTACGTTTGTATCTGCTGATATTTGCTGCTAATTAAAGTATTTCAAATGTTAGACAAGCGGCTTTCACAGTTATAGAAAGAAAAATATGTTTAAACATAGTTTTTATACCTATTTCTTCTCATCAGCACGCCGTAAGCAGTCTTGTTAAATGACTCGATCAAAGTGATATTTGCCGTTAAACGTAATGTTTTACTAAATCGTGATATAATGAGGGTATATCGTCTTAATTTAAGGAATGTGGAATAACTTCGGTTTACTCGACTTGCGACTTCATCTGAATTATAGTCGAATTGATGTAGAAGGGTGGTTACGAGGTTTATTCGCTTAAAGCCCAGATTAGCACAATTGTATAAAACTGCTTCAGTTGATAATTTGGATAATTTTATAAATAAATGTATATATTGTCGGGATTCCTAAAGACTGTAGGTATATATGGTTCTGACGTAGCACAGCGTTTCATTGCAACTGAGTCAAAAAATTTAACGAAAATGTACACATCCCTATATGTATTAATATTGCTTGTGTCCTACGTTTAACTGTACAGCAAAGATATGATTCTCGATACTTTCTGAAATAAAAAACTACTTACGCAATACCATGACCCGAACGCGAAAAATTCGATGGCTGTGCTTTCAGTAGAAAGCAGCCTGTTGAGAACTACTAAGTTTTTGGATTTGGCTCTCATGCGTCACAGATGTTCCGAAGAAAAGCTTTTACTTTTTTAAACAACTGTGGTATTATTTTTTACAATTAATACTTTATATTATTATGGCAACCATATAAAGAAATGCCATTAATAGGGGTAGCCAGATTGAATTAGTCCTTAAATATGCCACTGGTTTGATTAGTAATTTATCATATATTACTTATGGTGTGCTGATGAGAACAAATAAGTTTGAAATCGCGGCCCACGTGTGAGACTTATTGACTAATATCTTACATTATTTTTATTATAGATTGTAACGTAAAATTTTACTGTTAATAAACCTTATTGATACCTATAACAAACAAATTATGGGTTCTTAAAATTGTCTATAGAATGCACAATAATCGCTCTTAATATACTTAATTATAAGTATCTAACTGCTAATAACTGGATTAATCATAATTAATTTTAGTATTGAAAATAAGGATCGTTAAAAAAAAGTGATTATCCTGCGTCTATTCCTGTCTTATCATACACATACATATATAAGTATATTACAAACGCTGTCAGTAGAGCGAAACGATGGTGGTGTGGTTTCGGTATCGCAGATATAACCGGAGGCCAGCTAATATCAACTTCATAAAAATTAAGAAACTTATAGTCTTTGCAATTTTATTCAATATTGTACCCCCCTTACGGAAAAAGGACCGCGTATATGTTCGCCTTCGAAGGCTGCACGAGCTACTATATAAACAATCCCTGATTCTAAGACGAACAGAAGTACAGTAACTAGTTCAACTATCACGATAAAATTACAAATTTCATCAAACA